TTAAATCATTCACAAATACACAGGATTTATTTTCAGATAATTTTGTGATGACTGGGATAAAAAGTAAACAGGTGCAATCTTAATTATGTCATCAAAAGATAACCCTCCTCCTCCATTGTCAGCAACCTCTCCATAAATTGCTGACATAATACCTGAATGGTCCCTTATAGTTACATTAGGTCATAGTATGGTAATTCAAAATGAATGACATCAGAGTTATCTCAAACAGAAAACAAAGAATGAATTACTTCCAAAAATCTGTCATTGGTTTTGGTTGCTTTTCATGATCTGTCCACTCCCATTCTCTTGAAACATTTATACAAGATCCATTTTTGATCTCCTCTTACTAGTTGCTCAACATAAGGCTCAAAATATATATGCTCACACATTGCTGCTGATAGCTCATGCAATACCTATTTTTCAAATTTAGATATGTACAGTATCTTCTGTGTTTGTTGCAGTTAATGATGAATAATACCATGAGAGTAATTTAGGCATTCTGCAATTTCATCTAACATGAAATATGATTCTGCTTTGACAAGGTGGAAGAGTATCATTGTCAAATTTGTTGGGACATTCAGAATGGGACCTATCTTCAATACTAAATTTTACTCTTAAATCAAAAGAAAATTTTATCTCCAGCTCTTCAACAATTGTGTTTTTCACCATGAAAAAGGCAAAAACTCCAACTTGCATGGATTAAGTTTGTTGGTTCTCAATAATACAAAATTAGTTATCGTCATCCTAACATAATCAATGGATTAGCTCAACTTGTTATAAGAAATCTCACATTTTGATATTAAATCATCATCTTATGTGTAAATAAAAACTACACTAGGTGCTGCTAATTGTAATCACTTTGGGACTTACATAAACTAATACACTCATATCTGCTTAAAAGAGCACTCTGAGAATTGCTGCATCATGCTATCTTATGTGGTGTAAGGTAAGATCACCCAGAGGATTGTTTACAATACAGTCGACCCCCCTATAACACTGTTGATTTTTCCATTTTATATGAATTCCATGTTGTACGAGTCACTTAGATTTTACAAATACATGTGCCGGGCTGTGAATGGCCCACGTATTTATAAAATCTAACCAACTCGTACAACATGGAATTTGTAAAAAACGGAAAAATCAACAGTGTTATAGGGGGTATTTGAATCTCTCATTCTTCAAGTCTTAAAAGCTCTATATAACTATACTTGAAAATATCAAAATTCATTGTCACAATTTTACCATAGACATACTTATATATTGGTTTCTATTTATATCATCAATTTTATCATCATTTTATTGATTAAATCAGTAAATACAGTATATTTACCAGTCATGTTACTTTCACTTCTTTCCAAGAAATACAGTAGGAATCCTAGCTGAAAGAATGTAAATACTATGTAGCTTTGCCCCAATATTTCTGAATGCTCTCTAATGGTCATACAATATAAAAACAAATAATAACTTTATTCTTGCAATGTTGTGCTTATCTGTACAATTTTATTACAATAATTTACATATGTGGAAGCAACTAGATGTACTATTGTACTGTTCATGCAATAAACACCCTTAAACAAATTTACTTAAAGAAGTCTGTAATTCTCTTCTGGATATGATTACTCACAGCTTTCAATTATCTCTTTGGTCTTGATACAATACTGTAAAGATCCCTGTTGCCTGGGTGATGATGTACCATAACATAGATCTTATAAATCTTCTTTAAAATGTGGACTTCTGCTCTATAAAAGCCACTAATACAGCATTCTTTTAAATGGATTGTTCTACTATCTGATGCTCTGTTAATAAGACTCCCACTACATATAAAATAGGGAGAGAATACTGGGAACATGGAAGTGTGTTCTCTTAACCAAATTGTTCCCTTATCCAATACTCTGTTAAGTGAACTTGACTGTAATAACCAATTTTATAATATATTAGTATATAGTATGTTTTGGAACTTGCTAATTTTGATAACATTAACTAACCAATTGCTTATTATAATCATGAATAATGTTGAGTCTACTGTGTTTATAGAAATACTTTGCCCCAGCTGTCATAGGTGGCCCAACTCCCCATTCACTTCACTCACCTGCCTAATTATTCCCAAAATAGACTATTCATAACAAGAATTTCAATAATATATAGATAGATGAAAACTGTACAGTTCTGATGAGGATTTTAAAACTTAAATAAGTTTAAATCTGTTTCAAAATGTACCTCCACACCATGGGTGTCTGCAAAAATTTTTTAGTGAGCAAAGCTTAAAGATAAATAATTAAATAAAAATTTATTGATGTAATTATCTAAGTTTTTTGGGTTCTTTTCACAATTAGATTACAGAAGACAGTATTGCATCAAAGCATCCAATGGTTGAGGATGTAAAGATGTATTTGCCTTTTTCATGGCTGCAACACTTCTGATAATGGCAGCTCCCAGCTGTAAATGAAAACAAGGCTTGAGCTGCTAGAAGTTTGTGTGGATGAAGAAATCAGATAGTAATGAGCAACAATGATGTGTGCCTCATTGTTCTAATAATAGTTCAATCAAAAAAATAATATAATAATAAAATAAAGCAGATGAAGGTGGAAAAATAACATTTCATCATTTACCTAAAGATAAACAATTATTAGAACAATAGAATCATTAATTTTTGTCAAGATCAAAGAAAGAAATTTCACGTATATACTGTACATCTATTAGATATTTCAAAAATTAGTACTGTTCCAAAAAGTACTAATAAACAGTTGCTATTAATAATAGTTGTATAAAAATTTTATATTGGACACGCTAGATTCAGCAATTTACATATGTTTGCTCCTTACATTTTAAACCCAGATTTTCAACATACAATAACTGGGAGAAAAATTTGAAAAAAGTTTTCAGTATTTTTCCTTGATTTTTCAGTAGAAATTGCTGAAAGAAACAGGTATGAACGAGGTGTTACAAGTCTTTCAGATACTACATGTACAGGATATGTTAATTTGTGTTTTTGTAAACAATTATTAACATTAATATTAATATTTTTAGAAGAGAACAAATTATATCTATCCCTGCAGTCAGTGTTGATCATACCTAACCAAAGTATCATCTGAAAGTTATATACAGGCAGCAGAACCTTAAGGATCATCTGGAAATAAAATTGGTGACAATGAATTACAGCTGAAATTACAAAGCTCAGAAAACAAAACAAGATTGCAGCAAAAGATAAAAATGATAATTCAGAAGCAGTTAATAATGATCTAAAAAATAATAATCTTCAAAAACAAAAAACCAAAGCCTGCAATACATGAACATTTCCTGGAATCAGGAGTTGGATATTTATTTATTTATAATAGTAGTTATCTACAATGGAATAAATAATACAATATTAATGACTTGTTTGCTTATATAGTAATAATTGTAACAACAATAATACATTTTAATTACATTAAAAAGTAATACAACAGAAAAGCTGTTTACTGCCTTACTAGATGCATCAGTAGCAGTGACTTCAAAAAAGAAAAATTGTAAAAAATTAATAAATTTTTTTGGAATTACTTATGTTCTTTTAACTGTAAAGTGTGGAGCCTCATTTTTCTTCACACTATGATGCAATAACAATATTATCTACATTGTAAGATACTAAATAACAATATAATATTTTAATATAGTTTACTACCTTTTAATACAGATTAAAACAAAAACACTANAAGTAAACTTATATACTAACATTATCACAAACAGCACTAAATCTGATATCATTCAATTCATATAATTTAACTTGGCTCAAGACTTTCAGTATACTGTATGTCTTGTAAAACTGGTAGAATGCTGGAAAATTTTTTGAAAAATTTGCACAAGATTCTAAGTCTCAACAAAGGATATGTTGGTGTAATATCATAGCGATGTTTCCCATAAAACAAAGCCTAAACCCATTTTCATAATGTCAAACAACAAGTCAAATCAATTCTTTGTGCCTCTATGTCCTTAAATATTTCAATTTTGTTATATATTATCCACAGAAATCCTGTTTATAAATAGTACTTATTATACTGGCATAATTTCAAATTAGCAAATGGAGGAAAAAATAGACAAAAATAAGATAAAATATCTTTTTCATCTATTTATAAACAAGATGTACATGGATAATACATAAAATTTAAGTCAAATCTATTCTACAAATTATAGAAGTATCAGAGACATTTTAAAAAATATGTTGCAATTTACTCCTTGATTTTTTATTGTAAATTTTTGTCTGCATTTTTTCTAATAAATCTCTCTATTGCCATGTATTATTTTCTGTGCCATATTGTAATCATAGTGTTTAAGGTATGGTATGCATACTATAAAAAAAGTGTTTGTTAATAATGATATTGTTTGGTGATGAAATGAAATTTTAAATTTCATATCCTATGACTATATTTCAAAACATATTAAGTAGAAAACAATCATATGTTTTTGTTGTGTTTTAGAAAATTGAATTAATATTTTCAGTTGACCTTGTAACACCCTATAACTTTTTTTTTACATTTAAAATAATGAAAAATAGATTCTCAGAATGTCTGATTTACAGGAACAAATCTTAAGAGAATGCTTACATTGTCTGAAAAATATCCTGTGTCAATAATATTAATAGTTTTCTATATAATATTTTAATGTTATTCTTCATATAGTATTTATTTAACTTTTTTAAAAAGTTTACTCACTTTTAATAAAAGAGCAAACAAATGGTTTATGTCCAAGAAGTCAGAATCTTGATTAATGTGGCAATTTTTAGAAGGTTTTAATTTCTAACATTTTTTATTCTTTAATTAATCTTAGAGCCATAATGTTCCATATTACTAAAATCCCATCCTTTTATATAAGATGACATCTGCCATATCAATTATGTCATATTCTAGAATAATTGACAAATAATTTTGCAAATATTTATTTTAAGATATTGTTAGGTTTTTTAAAATCACTATTATATATCCTATTATTAAAAAAATTAATAAATCTGTAATTATAATGAAACTTACATCTATTGATTGATATTAGAATCTGCTAACAACTTGGAAAATCAAGCATTGGTTTGTGCATAAAATAGCCCCATAGGGAAGAAAACCTTTGCATACTGCATACTGTAAGTACTGTACATAGTTGCCAAGAGATAAGACACATCAAGGAACTTGAAGAGTAACAAGGTACCTCGTTGCATATCCAGATACTGGTTGCAATGTAGAAAGAGAATCTAGAACTGAAAAAGGATAAAGGCAAAGAGGTACAGAGAGTGGTGTTAAATTTAGAAAAATTATTGATTATAGGTTGAAAGGGATTTTGCTTACTGAAAAGACAAGATGCAAAAATGATAGCACACAGTAGAAATTTGTTTTAATGTGATTGAAAAAAAAAATTAAGAAAATTGCAGGAAATTAGTCCAGAAATGCACACAAAAGTAATTTAAAGTGGTAGAGAAACTGCAATGAAAGTAATTTAAAGTGGTAGAGAAATTGCAATGAAAGCACTAATTATTATATAGAATAGACAGTGCAAGGTCATGCAATTGGAAAGGTTTCTCTAGATTGATAGAATTCATATTAGCAAGGAATAATAATGAAATTAACTGGGAAGAATTTAAAATGATTTTTAGCAGTTGCTAAATGACTTTCTTTTTCATTGCTGAAGACATTTATTCTGTTTTTGAGAGATGACATATATTATTAGAATTTATAATCAAAGATACAAAATAAGCCAGAGATATATCCTTGTCTATTACACCAGACTTAATTGATTATCTTAAAATTAAATCATCATAAGCTTTCCAATTTGAATTTTATTAATAGAGCTTTATTTTCAAAATAATAATGTTTCTTAAAGAAAAATCATAATTGCATAAAATATTTTATAGAAAAACATAGCTAATTTTACTTTCTGCTTTTCTTTATCTCCTGTTTTACAGAAAAGGAACAAGTAGACAAGTAGATCCACATTAAAGTACCTAATAGTACCATAACTAATATACCTATGATGCATGATCAAGATTTTTTAATATAAAAGTTCTATTTCAGCTTACACATGTATTAAAACATTACAAGAATTTTCAGTTCATTATAAAAGATGCTCACTCATAAGATAAGTATATAGATATTTTGACTACAATTCATGAACTGTTTGACCACAAGTTCAAGCTCCTAGCATGACTTATATTACATAATTTAATTTTAAATCCAAATAATTCAGAATATTTTCTTCCTTACCAGATGTAGTAAGAGACATTTCTATTTATAAATAATATCAAATAAATTACGTTCATAAGTTAGGCAGAAAATATATTAAAAATTAAATAAAATATGCAATTATATAAATTGTTTAAAACAGCATAATACTCTCAGTCTTAAATATTTTTAAAATAATTAAAGAATATGTATTAAAAAACATTTTAATCGTTTATGAAGGGAAGAATTACTTATACAGTACTTATAATTTTTCTTCTCCAGAAAGAAAGAAAAAAAAAGCAGAACCTGATTTTAATCTCTTGGTAAAGACATTAAATTATCTATAATATATAGTTCTCAAACCTGTTTTTATTTAACATTTCATTTGATAAACCATTATTATACACAATAATCCTTTTGTTTATACTTGTTCCTAAGCTACTTATGTTTATATAGATTTTGAATTGAATTAATGAACACAGAATAACTGAATATCCAATATGTTATAATAAATAGAATTATAAAAGAAAATGAAAACATTTTAAATGCAAATTCAATAAATCCAAAATTAAGAATAAGAAAAATACTTATTTGTTCCAGCATTTAATTTATTTTTTAATATTTTTATAAACATACATGAATCTTATATTGAAAATTTAAATAATTAAATCTTTAAGTTTTTTTTTTTAATCTAAAATTTGCTGGAACAACACTATACTTTCCAATAAACTTTTCTTGACTTAAAAAAGTAGTAACTACAAAGCTAAAAAAAGATGAAAACATTATAGCTAATTTGAAAGAATAAAAAAAAAATTAGATTCAAGTTATTTCACATTGTTTAAAACTAAAATTTGTTTTATCTTAAGTTCCACAATTAAACCTGGAAAAATTTTTCAAATTGTAGATCAGAATAAATTCAAGAATGCTAATTTATAAAAGGATTTATTAGTATTAAGATATTCTTTTTCCTCATATAAGGAAGAAAAAACATTCCATTACTATATAAGTAATAACTAAACTATAACATATATAAAAAAAAAAAAAAATTTACTGCATATNCCTGAGAGAACAGATCGAGAACCGAACCAGATAGATAGACCTGGAAGTAAAACCTTGAAAAAAGCCAATTCATGAGAGAAGGGAACCTACAAGAGTTTGAAATTCTTTTTATTTTAAATTTAGTAAAAAAAAACTGAAATTTTTTTAAATAAATTACAACCATCAGATATACAACATATGTTTTTTAGAATTTTCTAAAATTTTTAACATAAAATAAAGTTAAAAATATCAGGCTAATCGATAATTATCTTACTATTTTGAACATGTCTATTGACTCATCTTGATAAGCATGAAGAAAACATTCCAAAAAAAAATTTATAGCCTAGAATAAAATGTGGCATATATACTTTCAACTATATTTTGAACATGTTTAAAAAAAGTTGGCAAATTTCAAATATCAACAGTAAAAAAAATCTATACTTCAATGACAGGTCAATTAAAGTAATGACAATCTTCAGATAGTGATAGCTCCAGCCTCATTTTCATTCAAATATGGATGCCACCATTATTTCCCCAAGATCTTGCTGCAAAAAAGCCTAATATGTCACTCAGAGCCGGCCCTACCATAGGGAGAATGGAGCAGCCGATCCAGGCGCTTAGTCCTAGGGGGCACCTCAGTGGTAAAGAAAATTAAAGGGTATAAATTAGGGGCAACCAAGGGGGCGACATAATAGGATCTCGCTCCATCCTAAAACTTGCCTCGGGCCAGCAGTGATGTCACTCTTACAATTTTTTCGAACTCCCAAGAAAAATGTTCCAATACCTTAGTTATGTGATTTGCTTCACTTGCTTACCCCATGGGTTCACTCATTTGTTCCCAATATAAACTATATGTGACAATTCAGTCCCCCGCAATCTCCACTCACTCAACCTCCCATAAAATGGGTGGCCCTCATTTGAACTGCCTCCTCCTTGCCCAACCCTCCTATCCTGCTCACTTTTCTTTCCCTCAGCCCAAACTCCTCACTTCAGTTACCCAAAAATTTTGCAATGATTCATAGAGAGAGTCCCTATGCTGCCATTTCTATTTGTTTCCCTCTGTAATGGAAGAAAACGTTCTACTGATTTTAAGCAAAGTATTTTATACATATAGAGAAGATACTTTAAAATGAGAAACTGACTAGTTATTTATTTTTTTCTACAGATATTGTTATCTGAGTGAAAGGAAAAAAGAAAATTTAACTTTAGGGGAATATGAAATTTGTTTTAAATTAAATAATTAAAACATAGTTTGTAAGAAAAAACTTTTATAATAAATATACAATTTACAAAAAATTATTTATAATTTACCTTTCTTGCTGTATCAAATTCACAAAATATCTTAAAGATCATTGAAGAATTCTATAAAATTTCTTACAATTAAATCTATTTATAAAACTAATTTTAAATTTATTATATAAGTATGTCTTTTTTTTTGTATGATTGAAAAACACCTATATAGATAAAATGATTGTAAAACAAATCTTTCATCTAGTTTATTATTAAACAAAATTAAATTAATATCAGTCAATCATCATTTTTGAAGTTTTAAGCATAGAAATCTGATATTTTAATAAAATTAAACTTCTTAAATCAATTAATTTGTAAAATTTGAAGTAATGCATTTTTATGTGATATTTAAATTAAATTGAAAAAATAATTTCAGACAAAAAATAATATATATGCACAATTATGTACACAAATAAAACTTTTCTATCAAAACAAGCAATTATTTATTATGACATCACAATGCTGAGCTGAAAATTTCAACCATATTTTTAATTTATTTAATTTAAAATATATGCTCTCCACCACATAGTAGAACTGTAGTGTCTTGCCCCTGTACATCATATTTTTCTGTTAGCAATGGAGTTGTGCCAATTATCTATCCAACTCTTTTCAGAAGAAAAATTTTTGAATTGAAACATTGGAAGTTCATATATAGTTAATTGGGATCTCCTTGCACCAAAGCTTCTTATAACTGCTACTGAATTTCATTTATCTAACACTGTTCTCAAGATTTAAGAAAAGATGCACGGATGGATGACGGTGGGAATTTATAGGTCTACAACTTTTTCAAATTGCAGCTAATTATAAAAACTGCAACAAAGCAAAAAACAATTCATACTTTCAAACATATGAATAAAAAATGTTAATATCTCAGTAATAGGTTCAATTTTATTTTATGAAAATTAATTATAAAAATAATTTGAAAACTTGAAAAATTCATTCTGAAATTTTTCTTCTAGTAGCATAGCAACCTTTTCAATGAATCTACAGCATTTATTTATTTTACATATAAAGTTTAAAATTGTTAAAAATAGCTCTGACAACTATGTAGAAATAATAGTTTAAACATTCATTCTCTCTTTAATTTATGGAATGGAATAAATATTCTGCAGATTATTAAAATTCAAAAATATTCAATAAACAATGTTTGATTTTGGATGGGGTTTATAATATAATATTAGAAATTAAATTGAGTTTTAAGCATAAATAAAATGAAAAAAACACTTCAAAGAAAAATAAATTTTTGATTTAAATTTTGTTATAGCATAAAACTGAACTTGCTAGTTAAAAGTACAGTATTATATAAATATTGTATAAGTATTATATAATAAATATAAAAATGAATACCAATGATTTAAATCCAAAAACTTTTTTTTTTACTTTTCATTGGCATATGACAAATTATGGAAATTTTGATTAACTTATTTGTAAGACTACAATTTTCTTAAAACTTAAACTACAGTATATTCTTATAATGTTTAAAAAAATGAATTTCAGGTATAGTTAGGAAGGTATAAATTTGAGGAAAAAAAATCATTAAATGTTTTAGTAATAAAAATATAGATTCTTTTTAGTTCAAACTGTTAACAAGAAATATGAATAATCATAGAAATTTTTAATAATAATATCAGAATAAAAAGGCATCTAAATTAAACAACATATGGTCAAAATGTATTTTAGAAATTTGAGAGAGGAAATTCATATTTTGAATTTAAAACTTTCATACTTAGCCACTTCTGAATTTTAATAAAATTTAATAATTTCACAGGCTCTTTTGATAATTGCTATATAATTGTTTATATTAATCATAGAGTTCAAAAATTATGTAATAAAATTTTTTTCTTTCATAACTATAGTAGTTATTTTATTAAAAATAATAAAATTTTGAAATTTAGATTAAAAATAGTTCATTAATGACATAAATCATTGGTAGTATGAACTTAAACATGAGCAAGATGTCAAAAATATATGTATATTAGAATCCATTCAAAGCAAACTTTTGGTGGATTTAAATCAGTATAATAAAATTTATATATTTATTAAAGATGGGAACATGTAATAATTAAAAGCTGGATTTTTAGGTGTTGCACTTTTTTTATTTTAGGGGAGTGTTAAAAACTATCTGATTTAAGCATAAATATCATATATAAACATGTATTGAATGATAGTAAGGGTCTAGTGTTGCCCCTTTTTACACCTATTATAATGTTTAGCACTTTTTGCACTTATTATTTTTATATTTACACTTAAATGACGATTCCAGAGGTAATATGATCACTAGCAGGGCTGAAGCATTCACATCTTGCTCAGTGAGGGATTAATATTTAGCGATAGGATAAGTCAAAATTTAGTGAAACTCAAGTTCTAATGTTATTACAGAATTGCGATTTTGTTTGAAGGAGTGATATACATAGCTAATAAAAACATTAAATAGAAATATATTTGGCAGAAATCATTGCTAAAAAGCAATTTACTAGGAATTTTCTTCATTACAAATGATAGAATCTTTTTGATAGTATCCATAATTTTATAATTGGAAACTTTCATATATTTAGGGACTGGAGTAATGAACAAAGGTATAGTACAATTATGATCCAATTGTCAGCAAAATAGTTCCTCTACTCTCCCTCTCGAACACATCCTCTTGTTTATTTTCTTAGCAGTTTAGGAATTTCACTCATCTAACCCTCACATATTTAGTGCAAATCTACAAGCCTTGTAGAGAGAATATTCAAAAGTTCCATTAGTGAAGGAACTGGAGAGTGGAAAAATGGTAAAAAGATTGACTACAAGCAAACTTTGTACGATTTTGCAAGAATTTAGAAATGAAAAAATTATTCAGTGTGATGTCTTCAATGTGACAATAAATATCAATGAAAAACATCAAAAGTCTAGGATCCAGCAACATATAAAAAGTACAAAACATCAAAAAAACAAATCCTTGAAAGAAACTTCATCAAGACAGCAACAGTTTATTGGACAGGCCTTGCAAAATACAGTCAGTTCTCCAAAGAATCAATTTTTTCTTGATACCACTGAAACATTTATCAGGGCAGGAATTCCATTATTGAAACTCAACATATATTATTTAAAAATTATCTTGAAAAATATTTGAAAGAAATTGCCAGATGAAAGTACAGTACTATTAGGAA